CTATACATAATCTGTTCTGTTGATGAACATTTGTGTAGTTTATAGTTGGGGGCTCTTATAAATAAAGCTGCTTTGGACATCATTATATATGTCTTTAGTGGACTTACGCACTCACTTCACCTCAGTATATATCTAAAAGTAGAGTTTCTGAGTCATAAAGTAAACACTGCCAAAGTCATGAGTTTGTTATATACTGCTAAAAGCTTGATTGTTTCCGCTTTTATATATAGGTCCATGATATAATGCGAATTATTTTTTGTTTATAAGGATGAGTGAGGATCAAAGTTCATTTCCCCACCCCCACAAGAATATTGTTAAATGAACTCAAAAAGAGTCTGGAGGCCTTGCTAGAAATACTCAAGATTTATTCAAAGGTCAGGGTTTACAAAACTGGAAACACAACTAGGCAATACCCAGTGTGTTCCGAAGAAGAAAGAAAAGCTGAGTACATTATTGAGAATCAGTCTTTCCTTCTTAGCATCTTGATTGGTCCAAGATGGTAATCTTCTAGCATCTAGATAACTGTTAATCTGGATAATGGAAGTCAGGCTGCTGGAATAAAGGATGTCAGGTGATCTGGACCTTGTGGACATTCTTTCCTTAGTCCTCCATGCGGGTTGTCTGGAGGTTCAGTATACATCCAGCCATTGATGTAGGACTAGAAGGTTAATGAGTTTTAAGTTCCCAGGCTAGTTAAAACAATAGAATCATTTCCTCAGGCCTCAACCTACTTGATTTTAGTAATTTAGCAGCTTGGCTATAGTGACTCCATTTTATTTCTTCACTCTATTCTTCAATATCCAGCACTATTTATTGAAAAGACTAATTTTTTACTTTCTGAATTGCAGTGGCACCTTTCTGTTAAATTAGGTGTGAGTAATGTATGGGTCTGTAGGACTCTTTATTTTGTTACATCGATCTATTTATCAGTGTTTAAAGAAAATTGGGATCATGCCGAATATGTAACTTTAAAATTTTTTTACATTTAATATTATATAATGCTTCAAAAACAAACTGACTACAAAAGAACTATGTAGATATACTATAATTTATTCTTTTCTCTTGGGATGTTTAGGTTGTGTTTTTTCTTTTTTTCTGTTTTGCTGTCTTTTATGTTGCAGGCTCTCCTCAAATGTCTGCTAATCTTTATCTATTCATTTATGTATGAGGTAATAAAAAGTCGATTAGAAGTTCTATGTGTGTGGGGTTTACTGTGGAGTGACTGGGTGAATCATTTCTTGGAATCTTCTCAAGTATTGGTATCAGCAACTTTTTTTCCATTGAGGCTGTTTAGTTTTTCCAGGGGAAAATTCTCTACTGTGCAGCCTGCACTTTCAATGCCAGGCTACCAAGCATCTTGTAATTTAAAAAATAATGACAACTTTGAAAATATTGTTCTTTCCTGCATCTCTACTTTGAGGGTTTTTTTTGTTTTTGGGTTTTTTTTTAATAGTGATCTTATCTCCATGGACCACCTTCTCAAAGAATAGTTTCTGCTTTTCTCATTGTGTGGTTGAATATCTGCTAATCCTGTGACTTTGAGCATGTCTTGAATGGGCTCGTGAGATAGCAGTGTTCATTCAAGTGCAATCTATTAATGGATCTTGGCTGCTGCTCAGTTTGAGCTGTCTTTTTTGGAGCTCCGATTTGTCTTTAGTGCTACAATTTCCGCTGTTTACATTTGATCCTCAGAGTAAGACTCTCCACTATAGTAGGACTTACATTTCACTGACCAAATTTATGAGAAAACATTCATGTCACAAAGTTCAGTATCATACCTTAAATTTAAAACTCATTTGTGTTTTAGTTAAGTGGTTCATACTAGACTGCGTCATTATTAGGTAAGCTTTTTTTTTTTTTTACTTTGCTTTGCTTCTATACAAGCTTGGGAATAACAGATTCCCACTGGGAGAAGCCCTGCTTTTCAGGGGCCAGCTCTTGGATCTTTGATCTTAGCACAGATGCTGTTTCTGTGGCTACTGCTGTTCTCTTACTGGGATTTTTTCTTGTTTAGAGGAAACTGAAAATAGATCCAGATTTTTATTCCTCTAAGATGACTGTGTAATTGGGAACACAGGGACAATGTTGGGGGCGGGGGGCTCATGGCAGCTGGAGCACCTGTGCGGCTTAGGCTCTATAAATGCCTCTGTGAATAGCACATGGGGTTTTTTCCCCCTAGACATTAAGTGATTCCTCAGGCAGAAGGAGAAAAGTACACACCAAAAACAAGGGGGAATCATGTGATTGAGGGAGACACATACATTTGAGAGAGTTTTGAGGGCCCCAGGGAGAAAACTGCACAAGATAATGAGGAACAGATGCCAACAGATGGATTAAGAAAACTCATGAAACACGGAGGTATGAAGTTATAATAGTTCTATACACTTTGTTCTTTTCCCCTTCTCACTGCTTATTGTGTTTAGAAGAACAGTGTCTTCAGAGAAATATAGGTTCAGAGTTTGCTAGAGGGAGAATAATCATTATTGCAGGGTCTTATTGGACTACTCAAGTCAAACTACAGTTTTGGTGGAATTAGCTCAGTCTGGAGTACGCCCTCCCCCAATACATACACTGAATTTAAGGAAACAGTAGCTGTGGCGGCTGTGTTCTACTTTTGTGACTAAAAATTATGGAATGGCCATGGGGGCGGTTAATGAAACTGACTTCTGAGTTCACCAGGGCTCACTAGGTTTCCACAGCCTTCTCAGGAGGAGAGAGGAAATGCAAGTGGTCAGCAGCACATATGCCCAGATTTGTGTGGTGGTTGTAATGTTAGTCACCATGCGTTAGGGTGAGGAGAAAGGCCATTCCCAGGTGAGAGTGTGATGCCATGTTGGCACAGACCATAGAACAGAGAAGGGAAAGAATTCTCATTCTTTTCTGAATCCCTATTTGGCCCCTAGGAAAATAAGAGAGTCTCTAAAATGTGGACCAGAATGTAATTGTGGTCAAAATAGGGGCCCTCAAGCCATTCGGATTCCATATTAAAAAGGTTCAATTTATAATCACCTCCCTCAAGTGACAATCCCCCAACTCCCCCAACTCCTCCTACTGAGTTTATTTAAGACCCTCCCTACTCAGAAATCTGTTTACCACCTTTTCTAAAAATCGCTATGTTTGTCTTTTTAACCAGTTATCCAAGAGAAGAGTTTGAACCATATTCATCTCTACACCCCACTACTTAGCACAGTGCCAGGCACAGTCAGCACTGCATAATGTATGCTTGGTTGAATGTCACTCAGAAGGGTTCATTAGCTTACCTCACTATTGGTTCCTAGGACTGGTAGTTTAGGTTAAGCTGGGTTTCAGTCTGATTTATGAGCTGTTATAAAGTCACCTGGAACCCCATTTCTTCTTTCAATGCTGCCTTTCTGAAATGCCTACCTCACCTTAAGACTGGCTCCCTCAGGGCTGCAAATTGGCCGTCGGCAGTTTTGTAAGCTATGACCTTGCTAGACTTTGTGTGTGCCTGTGTTGAAGAGAGGAGCAGGTTGGGAATGTGATCCCAGCACTTCGGAACCAATCCTAGTGGCCAAAGATACCATTTGTGATTGGCTTAGTTCTGGATTCCATGAATAAATCTTGATGAAGGAGGGAAGGGTGACCTGGATTGGCTTAGGTTAGATTGGGCTCTCTCTGGAGCTGGAAGGGGATGAGCTTCTCTTGAAGAACATGAACTGCAGGAAGAATGGATGGATACCTAACTGAAAGTCTGACTGCTATTACAGGAGAGATAGTGGACTTCGCTGGCTGCCCCCACAAAAAACTATTAGTTTAATCCAAATTTTCTAGGGACCCTTACTTGATGGCTATTCTGCTCTTCATATAGGATCACTTATTTATTGATTGCATGTTATAAAAAAATGAAATTTAGTAAATTTAGTAAATAGTAAATTTATTTACTAAATTACCAAGTATCTAGTAATACTCAAAATTGTAAATTTTAGATATGAGATTCTTCTCTCTATTAACTTACTATTTAGATTGGGACAGAGGAGACTCAAATAGATAAAAAGTTAAATATCAGTACAAGAGATGGGTAACAGTCCAAGGCAGCAAGGTGACATATCATGTTGTTCATCCAGGATACATACTTTGCATTCCCCAGTAATGCTTTTAATCTGGAAGTCATTGTGTCAGGCACTGTGGGGGTTATAGAGACCATGGAAAGGAGATGCTCGCCCTCCAGACTTCAAACTCAGTCAAGAGCATGGTTAATAGGCTTGGGGGCTGGGAAGCAATGGCCGTCCTCACAGAAGCAAACCACCAAGAACAGGCACCTGTAAACACAAATGGGGGTTCCTGGTAAGCCTTCCAGGGTCTTGGGAGCCCAGATGGTCAGAGGAGATGCTCAGCATCCTCTGTAGACAGCTCTGCCCTCTGTCCAGTGACAATTGAGCACGCAGCTCAACCGCACAGAGCTGTGGGTCTGGGGGAGCAAACAGATCAGCCCAGTGCCCTGGGCAGTGGTGGCTTTTACACTCTGGTAGGTCACTGCTGTCAGTGCTGCTTGTTAGAAGACCTCCGTGCAGCTCAACACCATTTATTGGAGGATTGCTAGTACTGGATCAACGTCTGCTGATCTGACCCTTAGTTAGTTCTGTTAGACTTTCTGCTTTCTTAGAGCTATCCAGTCACATCTGTGGACATTTCAGAGGATTGAAAACCAAAATATCCTGTTCTTCATTCAACACATTATTGAGGAGCCTGCTTTGTGCCAGGCGCTATGCTAAGCTCTAGGGTCATGGTGATGATCCAGAACTGACTTGATCCCTGCTGTCACAGCCTATATTCTAGAGGGGAAGGCAGACAAAGGCAAATAAACATATGTTTGCCAATTGTGGTGATGGTGAGTAGGAAACAAAATGGGCAGAGCTGAAGATTTGTAAGAGGTATGAGATACCTTTAAGGCATTTTGTAAATGATCCCATGGCTTGCAATTTTTTTCCTAATGATTTTCACTGATTAAATGCAAATAATTTTCATCGTTTGTCTCTTAGGTACACTTTGCAGGTCCTCAATGAACCAAGGGAACCCTCCACCGTATCCGGGCCCCGGTCCAACAGCCCCATACCCACCTTATCCACAACCACCAGTGGGGCCTGAGGCCTACCCTCCAGGACCTATGGGAGGACCCTACCCCCCTCCTCAAGGGTACCCCTACCAAGGATACCCACAGTATGGCTGGCAAGGCGGACCTCAGGAGCCTCCTAAAACCACAGGTACTGTGACCAGAGTGCGTGTATGTGGGTATGTGGATGTGCGTGTGCACAGCCCCATGCCACCAAAGGAAATGTTTGCGTGTTTTCTTTGGCAGAGAAGAAACTGGTTTTTGTGTGCTGTGGTTGATGTTCCCAAAGCTTGGTGACTGCTTCTAACTCCTGAGAAGGACTTCTTTCTTAGGAAGCCTGACTCAGTTCTGCTTGCTTCCTTTATGTCTCTTGTCCCCTCTGGGGCCGATGACTTCCTGGCCGACATGTTTTCTGAGAGGACCTCCTAGAGCACTGGTGGGGGAAGTTCCAGTTGGGTTCTTGCTCTGGCAGCCAGTTTTGTTTTCCAGGTTTAGCTTGTTGGGATTATTGTATCTCAGCTTGTTGACCCTCAAGTCATCCTCTTGCCCCTGCTATTGCATTTGGTTTTCTTTACTAATATGTTTTTGTGATTCTGTTTAACCTGCCAGCTGGGTTTCCAGCAGGTTTATGAGTGTTCCTTATGTGCTAGAACAGTGCTACTCAAAGTTTACTCTGCAGCTAGTGCCAGTCCATGAATGGCTATCGGGCTATGAGGAGATAAGTACAGAAAGTGAGAGTAAACATTTAAAAACTTTTAGAGCAATTTGATATTACTGTAACCTTCAAGCATGAGATCTTGCATTTTACACAAAGTGTCACTCTGGGAAGGATTAGGAAGGAAACATCTTGAGAAGCACTGCACTAGACTTTCCTGACTGCTACGACTGTTTTATAACCTTTTGGGTTACAGAATGGTTGCTCTCTTACAGCACTTTCAGCTTTTTAAAGTAGCGAATTCTTACTGAGTGCTCATTATGTGCCGAGTGGTTTCCTAAGAGCTTTATATATATTAACATTTAATCCTTGCAACAATCCTATGAGGTTATTCCCGTTTTACAGTGAAATAATTGAGGAACAGACTGGAGTAATAGTTCACCCAAGGTCACCCAGCTGGAAGTAGCAGATCCCAGAATTGAATTCTGATAGTTTGGCTTAAGAATCTGTACCTATAACTTATTGCTCTACTCTTGTCCTGCTCCTGTCTTTTCTGACCCACATTCATCTGAATTTAGGGCCTCAGGCTGCCTCAGAGATTTTCCTATAGTTTAGCCCCTTATAATTAAAACTAGTAACAGAATTGATGGCTCATTTTATTCCAGGATTTGAGGATCTTTAGAATGGGTGGATGCTATGGAAGAAAAATATGTTTAAGAGGAATTTTGCACTCAATATGGGAAAGATTATACTTTCATAGTGTAAAATCAGAGGCTGTGTTAAGATTGGATAGATTTGAATACCTTTACAAGGTTTAGTTTATCTCGAAGGAAAACTTTCACCATCAACGATTCTGTTTTGCTGTAAGTGTTTATAACACATGCTTGGAAGAGTGCAGGAAGTATAACCAGTATTATCAGAGTAGTTGGCGTCCAGGTCTATGACATCAAAGGGGGATGTCCTGAAAATCTTAGTTTCTAGGTTTTCTGCTTCCAAACAAGGTAACCAGACTGAAAAGACCACATAATATATGATTTCATTTATGTGAAGTTCAAGAATAAGCCAAACTAATTGATGGTTATGGATATCAGAATATCAGTTACTCCTAGTTGTGGAGTTGGGGGCAAGGGTGGGGTTGGTTAGTGATTGGGAAGGGCACAGGGGACCTTATGGGGGTATTAGGAATATTCTTTACCTTAATCTGGGTATAAACGCTCTTCAAGCTGTACACTTACTATTTTTGCACTTCACCAAATGTTATATGTCAATGAAAAGAAATATGTCAGCCCAGCATTTTGGTTATCCAATAGACTCAGCCCAGTGCCTGCCTGGTGTTATATCTTTCACTCATAGCCCTCATGGTCCACTGTGTGTAGGCCACTTCCGGGCCTGTATTGTTTATACTGTCTAACTAGCATTCAATGGATTGGAACTTTATAGAGCTTATCTAGAATAAGTGCTTCCTGGGCTTGGTGGACTTTGTCCCCTCACACGGAAAATACAGATCTGATCTTCTTTCTTTACCTTTGGTATAATTTAAGTATTACATCAGCCTTTTGAGGAAAAAATAATATTCTAATTCTTCTTAAGATTAAAAGGCTTTTATTTATCACAGTTTCATAAATGCAATTGGAAGCTATTTAATATTCTTTCTTATGAGATTTCTTTCTCTCATCAGCTTGTGAATTATTAACTGCCCAGACCCATTCTGCACTCAGACATGGCAGGTGATGCCAGATGGTCAAGTTCATCTCTCACCTGGAGTCCAGGTTCTGCGAATGGGACCCTTTGATCCCCTCGCTAAGGGATGCACCCTTTAGGGACACATTTCATTCCTTGCTCTCTGTATTCCTTCTGGGGCTCCCAGTCAGCTTCATTCTAGAGGCCTGCATGTATCTCTGAGTTCTGTGGAAATTTTTAGGTTTTTTTCCTGCAACTGGATGAATTTAGATTTACCTGCTACTGCAAATACCTGAAGTTCAAGCATGTAGTCAGTTCTGTTAACAGTTACCTTGGTGGGAACCACTTCTTTTTGAAGGAGGGAGGGTCATCTTAGCAATTATAGCTAGGCAAATATTCTTAATTGGTGTGTGGTAATTAGTAGTAAGGACTTAATAAAAGTGTGGATGGGTAGGTGGCTAATCTAAGCAGAGCCTTTGGCAGTCTGTTTATGGTTCAAAGTTCATTTTTCATAAATTGTAGTTAAGAAAAACCTTTGCTTTTCCTTAGAAAACCAGCTTTTTGGAAACTGTGTGAATGGAGGCAATAGGTAGTTGTGGGAATGAGCTTTCCAGAGAGCAGTATATCTCCTGGAGTGATTTTTAATAATAATAATTATTATAATATTATAATTATAATTATAATTATTACTATATTATAATTATAATAATAATTATTATTATAAAACTAGTATCTTGAGCATGGTGCCAGGTAATCTTCACAACAACCCTGTAGCATAGTCCCATTTTACAGAGGTGGAGTCTGAGGCTCAGAGAAGTTGTGTTTTAGTTAGCTATTATAAAGGATATTGCCCCAAAACTCAATGGCTTAAAACAACTATTTATTATTTCTCATTCTGTGAGTTGGCTTCATATGCTCTCTCCTGGGATCACTTGTGTGACTTAATTCAGCTGTCAACTTGGCTGGGGCTGGAATATCCAAGATGGCCTCACTTACATGACTAGGGTCTTGGTTTGCGTCCAGGAGGCCTCTCTCTACACATAGTCTCTCATCTAGCCTGAGCTTCTTTACATGGCAGCCAAGAGGGTGAAAGTAGAAGCTGCCAGGCTTTCAATAGCTAGGCCCAGAACTGGTACAGCACTACCTACCCAGTATTCTATTGTTCACAGCAGGTCACAAGGCTGGCCACGTTCAACAGGATGGGAAATAGATGTCACCTCCCCGCTCCTTTGTTTTTGGTAACAGTTTTATTGAGATATAATTCACATACCATACAATTCACCCGCTCGAAGTATACAATTCAGTGGCTTTTAGCATATTCACAAAGCTGTGCCACCCCTGTCTAATTCCAGAACATTTTTATCATCACAAAAAGAAACCTGGAACCCTTTAGCGGTCACTCCCCATTTTCTTAACCCTCCCCCACCATTAATCTACTTTCTGTCTCTACGGAGTTGCCTAATCTGGACATTTCTCATGAATGGAATTATATAATATGTGGTCTTTTATGTGACTGGCTTCCTTCACTTAGTGCAATGTTTCCGAGGTTCACCCATGTTGTAGTCAGTGTCAGTACATTCCTTCATATTGCTAAAGGGTATTCAATAATATGGATATACCACACTTTATTCATCCATTAGTTGATAGACATTTGAGTTTCTACTTTTTGGCTATTATGAATAATAAATAATAGCTATTACAAACATTTCTGTAAAATAAACTCCCATCTCGCTGAGGAATGGCATGCGAATACAGGGTGAGAGGAGTTGTTGGTGACCATCTTGGCAGACAGTCCACAACACTCCATTCTTTGCTCTCAACAATTGACATTTTCCCCAGGCACAAAATATTTCCACCCCTTCCAAGACCACCAGATGTCTCATTCAGTAACCTGGATGAAGTCCGGGATGTCATCTAAGTAGTCTACACGTAGGCAAAGCCTCTAACCCTTCACTCTCCACTCCTCATTCCCATTCTGCCCTACCCTACACGTTCCTGGAGTGCAAACAGAATATCTCCTCCTCCATGAAGCTTTGTCTCACGTGTCCCACACCTCCGGGAGAATTTACCTCTCCCGTGCACTTCAGTTGCACCCTATTCAGACTTCGTTCAAATCACCTCCTCTCTCCAAATTCAGTTAGTTTTCATGTTCTGTCTAATTTACCTCTTTAATGTCTGAGTTCAGTCAGACTTGCTATCTCAGTCTTAGGCTTTCACCATTTGTGTTAGTCAAGGCTCTTAAGGCTACAACTGACAGAACCTCAGCCTTAAATATTAAGCAACAACAGAGGATCACCAGAAACCTGGGTAGTCTCCAGAATGACAGATGGTAACCAAAACAAAAAGAAGGAATTCTGAAGGAACAGAGACCATGAAAGTAGCAAAAACCCTGCTTTAAAAAAAGAGGGGAGAAAAAACCCTCTAACATTCTTTGATATCCAGGAAGAGAAATCTTATTGAAACCTCTAACATTCTTTGGTATCCAGGAAGAGAAATCTAACATTCTTTGATACCCAGGGAAGATATAGCAGGCAAGAATGCTATATAAAAAGGAATTCAGGAAACAAAACACTTAAGAAGAATGTGAAACTGACCTCAGCCCAACGATTCGGTCCAAAAGACCCATTTGGAGAGCCAGATCTTGCCAAACCGGAATTTAAGGCTTTTCGCCACAGATGGAAGTTTGATATGTTTTGGTTATCTATTGCTGCATAACAAATCACCCCAAATCTTAGAGTTAGAAATTCTGTAATGTGGGCAGGGCTTGGTGGGAAAGCTTCCTCTCTGTTACCCATGGGGCTAGAACATAGATGATA